TGTCTCTTACCTTATTCACCAGTTCTACCACTGTGTGACTTCTGGTCTTTCTCAAGGCCAAAATAACTATGAAAAGTAAACATTATGAACTGATTCAGAACAATAAGGTGGACATGATTGTGAAAATAGACACTCAAGAAGGACGACTTCCAGAATTGCTTTAGACAGTGGCAAGAACGCTGGGTAATGTGTTGAAAGCAAGAGAGTATTTGAGGGGTATCTTTTATTCCAATAATTTTTTAAACATTCTCCGTATTTTAGATTGTACTTCATTTTCAACTGAATTTCTTGCACTGAAGTCTGAACAATCTTTTGAAAATATATCTTCTGTCACTCTCACTAAAAATCTTTAGTTTGCACTGATTTCAAAAGAATCTTCTCCCTGGCAAACGCAAGGGTCTGAGTTTGATCCCTGGTTCCGCAAAAAAAAAAAGACCCTGTTTCAAAAAAAAAAAAAAAAAAAAAAAAAAAAAGAATCTTCCATTGCCTCCAAGATGCCCATTGGATTCTAGTTCTTTAAACCCAGTTCACAGTAACTCTCATTTCAGACTGTTGGTCTCTGTGGGTTCCATGAGAAGGCTTATATTTACTTTATTCTGAGGTACTTTTGACTCTTGGCTTAAAGGATCTCTTCCCAGAAGCCATTTTTGACACCTCATAGTAGGCTGCCTTCTGTGCTTCACACACCTACTCTTACTAACATCTGTAAGATTAGGAAGTTATTTTTATGAGACTGATTCCCTTCCCAATCTCATGAAAGAACCACAGCTTTTTTCCTTTGCATTATGTCCCAGCACATAGTAAGAGCTTAAAGTTCTTTTTTTGTCTTTTTCTAGTGCCCAACTGGGTGGTTTGTATACAGCAGATGAGTAAGTTTGCTACATGGGCCAGAAATGTTGAGAACATTGTTACTCATTTACAATGAGCATACATATACAGGAGTCATCCCTTGATTATCTGTTTAGGCATTCATACATTAAATGAAAACTAAAGTCCCCAATTTTCCCCATCCATCAAACTTTCCTCACTGGTAAGACTGAAGAAAGTAATGTACATTTCATTTCCTTCCACTGATGATCCTCTGATGGGTAAATTGGCAAGCTGCCCTAGTGAGGAGTCTCCATGTAGATTCAGAATTAGCTTAAGGAGATTTTGCATCCCAACAAACATTTTTGTACTCTCATTTAAATAATTAGGTGTTTAGAAAAATTTCTTCACTAGACAAATGAAGATTATTTTTTGTTTTACTTTCTTGGCAAGCTGTGAAAATATTTCAGTGGTCAGAGGATATATTAAAATGTATAGCTGAGTCAGATGTGGTGGTTCGTGCTTGTAATTCCACAGCTAGGGAGGCTAAGGAAGGAGAATCAGTATTTGAGGCCAGCCTGACCTACATGAGATCCTCCTGTCAAACAAACAAACAAACAAACAAACAAACAAACAAACACACACAGCTGGGTATGCTGACATAGCAACTCAGGAGGCTGAAACAGAAGTGTTAGAAACCACCCAGACACAGGCTTTGTGTGAGCAAGACTGGATTTATTCTGTCTGGGTGCAGAAAGGCTGAGATCATGAATAATTTCAACAGCTAGCCAGAAGAGAAGTTAAGTTTTTATAGGGCTTGGGATTGTGGTTATAATCTCAAGGAATCTGGGTGGAATGTTTTGGACCAAAATTCCCAGGACGGTCAGTACATACGTGTAGCTAATATTGGATTTCTTAGTGCCAGGGAGACTGTATGTCCTGACCTAAATTTTCTTTATGGTCATCTCTTCTGTTTGCCAAGGGCAGCATGGCCCTTTAGTGGTTTCCTGTTGTTTGTGAAGGGCTGCATGTTTGCTGAAACATTCTCTCTCAGGTCAGGCATGACAAGAAGGTCAGCTTGGGTAACTGAGACCTGTCTCAAAGTGATAAAAATAAAAAAGGACTGAGGCCGGGTGTGGTGGCACCTGCTTGTCATCCTAGTACTAGGGAGGCTGAAGAAGGAGATCACATGAATTTGAGGCCAGCCTAGACTACATAGTGAGTTCAAGGTCAGCTTGAACTGTGTAGTAAAATTCTGTAACAAAAACAAAAACCTGGGGATGTGGTTCAGTGGTGAGAGTGATTGACTAGGATATGTGAAGCCTTGGGTTCAATCTTTAATGCCACAAAACTCAAAAACACAACCACTCAAACCCACAAAAACTCCCCACACATACATGGTTGTACAAATGGGTTTATTTGGGTGAAATGACATGAAACAGTAAAAATAAAAACCTTATAAATGAATTGCTTTCAATTATATTACCCCAGAAAATGGCTAAATAAATTTGTAATACGAGAAGAACTCCAAGGCAAACTTATTAACATTTGTTAAGATAGCAAGATGACAATTTCTTAGAGTTTAATACATTATTTGTAATAGTACCAACCAGGAAAGTGTTTGAATGGTGCACAGAGGGGAAAAAAAAAAAAGGAAAAAACGGGGTGGGGAGAAGGGAGAGATAATAGGAAAAAGAAACAGAAAATTTAAACAAAGAAACTTTAGAAAGAGAATTTATTTTCTATTTATTTATTTTTTAAATGTTTCCTTTATTTATTATTATTATTATTTTAAGGGTCAGCTCAGCCCAATCTGGGGGCGGGGCTGGCATGGCATGTGGGTGCTGAGGATCAAACCAAGGTCCCTGCATGCTTGCCTAAGCTTGCCTAAGCAGGTGCTTTAGACCACTGAGCTATCTTGCTAGCCCAAGAAAGAGAATTTAAAGTTGACCAAAATTTAAAAATGTTCCCCTTCACATATACATGCATACTACAACAAATATTAGAATCTAAAAACTGGCAGCCTATTTTTAATGCTTGAACTAATATTTTCAGAGGTATATAGCGAAAAAGTATTGTGCTTACAAAGACAATCTTGCCAAAACCACAACTATGAATGTTTTCATTTTCTTTCTTTCTTTTTTTCTTTTTTAGACAGGGTCTCACTATGTAGTCCAGGTTGGCTTTGAACTCATTCTGTAGCCCAAAATGACTTTGAACTCACAGGTATCCTCCTGCCTCAGCCTCCTCATGGCTGGGATTACAGGCATGTGCCTCCATGCCAGGCAGTTTTTTTTTTTTTTTTTTTTTTTTGTATTTTAGGAAAGGGTCTATAGGGTGTTCAGGGTCTCACTACTAGATCAGACTGAGTGATCCACCTGTTTACAGCCTCCCAAGAGCTGGGATTACAGGTGTGCACCACCACGCTCACCATGCCATCTCAGCGCGCCCTTGGGGTGGGGCCAGCACAGCAGGCCAGGGACTGAACCCCAGATCCTGCATCTGCTTGTATGAGCTATTTGGCTGGCCCTCAGTTTTTGTTTTAAAAAAAGGAAAAAAAACTGTATTTCTTTTCTACCATCAAAGAAAAGTATAAAGAATTTTTTGGGGCTGGGGAGATGGCTCAGTAGAATAAGCACTTCCCTGGCAAGCACAAGGGCCTGAGTTCAATCCCCAGTTCCACCAAAAAAAAAAAAAAACAAAGTTATGAAAGGAACAAAAATGCACGGATTCTACTATCTCATTCTTCAACTATATTTTTTTTAATATGTATTTGGTACAGTCTCATTACGTAGCTCAGACTCGTAGTGATTCTCCTGTTTTTAGCTTTCCCAGCGCTAGAATTAAGCACTCCCAGACTCAGTCGTGGCCTACAGGGCCTGGGGGTGGGTCTGGCCTGGCATGAGGCCTGGGGGACAGAACCTTCCCTGGTCCCTGCGCTTGCCTAAGCAGGTACTTAGTTGCTGAGCTATCTTACCAGCCCTCATTCTTCAAAACCGAGTAAACACTTGTAAAACTTTCCTTCATCTATTACCAAGTGCCTAGAGCAGCCAGCCTACACAGACCCAGGGGCATTCATGTTAGAATATTCCATAATGATCTGGGAGCAAATATTTTTGGCAGAAATACTTAATGTACAGGGAAAGGTTCCCCACAAAATAATTTAGCATGTTGCATTTAGTCAGGAATCCTTTGGGGAAAAAAAATGCTACTATCACACTTTATAATATTCTTAGTAGCATTCAAGTCATTTATAACATTATGAACTCTGAAGTGTATGTAAGTTTTCCTTCTTTTTTACTTTTTTTTTTTTTTGTATTTTAGGGAAGAGTCTAGGGTGTTCAGAGTCTCACTACTAGACTGGACTCAGTGATCAGTCTATTTACAGCCTCAAGAGCTGGGATTACAGGTGCACGCCACCACACCCAGTCTCAATTGCTGTCTCAGTGTGCCCCAGGGGCGGGGCCAGCAAGGCAGGCCCAGGGATCGAACCCCTGGCCCCTGCACCTACTTGCAGTTGCTTTAATCTGCTGAGCCATTTGGCTGGTCCTTCATTTTTTTTTTTTTTTTTTCTTCAACAGATGGCAAATTACGAGGAAGAAGTAAAAATATAGAGAAGATCCAAAATTGCCACATGTCACTTTAAAGTTATGTTTTCAGCTGGGTGTGGTGGCACGTCTATAGTAGTAGCACTTGAGAGACTGAGGCAGGAGGATTGCCATGAATTTGAGGCCATCCTGGACTACATAATGAGACCTTGTCTCAAAATTTTTTAAAAAGTTATGTTTTCATAGTAAAAGTCCTAAAACCAATATAGAAAACTGTTTGGCTAGACACTCATCTTTCTCTTTTAAATAACAAAGTTGGGTACAGTGTTACATACCTGTGGTTTCAATTACTGGGGAGGCTGAAGCAGGAAAACTACATAAGCCCAGAAGTTTGACGCTTGCTTGAATGACATAGTGAGACCTCATATAAAAAAAGTTATTTTTTTTCTCTGAATGCCTTCAGGGCAGGTTTGGCTGGCTTGAGTTCTAGGGATCGAACCGCAGCAACCTGAGCCTGACTGCTGTGTTGAAGCAGGCACAAAGAGCTGAGCTAAGGGGCAGACCCCCCTAAAAAAATTTATTTTAAAGTAGCATGGTTTGAAGAAAAAAGAAATAGGATCACAAAGTTCTGAGTTCAAAATTTGTGTTTTCTAGCATTTCATTGCCTTAGGTAAGTCACAATCTTTTGGAATCTCAATGTCTTAGTTACTAAAATGGGTCTCATAATGCCTACATCTCAAGGCTAGTCCTAGTATTAGAAGAGATATAATTTAAGTACCTAGCATAATGTTCTTCAAGAAAAAGTTAGCTCCTTCAGTTTTTTCAAAAAGACACTGAAAAATATTTTTCAAGTCTGACATATGCCAAAATAATTGGCTGGGCAGGGGGTGAACACGGCAAAAGACTATAAAGGTAGTTTCATCCAATTTTTCCATTTACTATGCATTTAATGTTTAATAAACAATAGTTTTATTAGTATTATTTTGAAACCACATTAATATCTGAATTGGTTCCATCCCTTGCAAGTAGGCTTTTAATTTTGTTTTCAATTGATTTAGCAGAGGGTAAAATTAACCTTCTTACTCACACTGTCATGACCAGGGTGGACAGCTCCTGCACCACACCTCGCCAAGCCACCAGCCACTCCACTGAAAACGCAGCTTCCAGTGATCCTAGACCCTGCAGTAAAAAACTAAAAAAAGGCAAAGTTTAGTGTAACAAAAGATGGTTTATCTGGGGAAAAATGATGGAAAAGAAAGAAGACCGACAGCTACTGTGAGATGGTAGGGGGCTTCAGAGCCAAAAGTCCACAAGCTTAGTTCCAGCTCCTTATATGGGAAAGACGACATGGGCACGCATCACTGTCTATCAGTTCTCTGGGTGATCTTTGATCTTTTGGCCATTTGGCCTTTAGCTTTCTGTCTGTCTCTTCTGGCCATTCTGTGCCTTCTGGCCATTTGGTTTCTTTCTGTCCCTTGGTACTGAAAAAGTAAAGGGGGAGGGCCTCTTAGGAAGGCAGCTTAATTAGTGATTAAGTAAAGGGGATATGTGTACACATGAGTATCTGGTGTAATATTATTAATGATGCTAAAGTGAGAAAATACATACATGTGTATACATGTACGTGTGTGTGTCTTACGTACTAGATAAAAGTGTCATTAGGTGGTTTGCATTTTGTCAGGTGGGTGAGGGGAGCTGGCTTTCCTGGTAATAGTGTTGTTTGGTACCTCTCCCAAGCCTAGCTAGCTTTTCCTTCCTTTGTTTTTCTAGCTACTCTAACTGCACTCTACCTGTGAGGGCAGAAACTGCTTTTGGTAAGTCCTTCCCCCATCCACTATTTTTTTTTTTTTTTTTTTTTTTTTTTACTGGGACATAGCTCAGGACCTTGCACTTGCCAGGCAGGTACTGGGCCACTGAGTTATATCCCTGGCCCCAAAGCTTTTATCCTATCTTTCCCTACCTACAAGAACCCTCTGTCCCTACAATATCATAGCATGGTGTAAAATGTTAGGAAAATCAAGTCTTTCTGGAGCACAGGTAAAAACCAGTTCGAATGTATACTCATACGTCCAAAAAAAAAAGCAGTGATGGAAAAACAGTAAAAAGTTAAACAATTTGTCTCTGAAGGTTGATGAGTATAATTCTGTCTCTTAAAACTTCAATTACTACTGTCATCCCACATGTATTCTAAGAATAAGCATGTGTCTCAAATTCTAGTATGGGCAGTACAGAAATAGCCCTTGCAGGGCTGTAGAGAAAGGATCATAACATGGAATTTGGAGGCTTATTCACGGGGGTCTGTAACCCGAAAGCCCTATATGTGAAGTTGTGTCTAAAAGCATTTCACATCTTTTTTCATCAGGAGGCTGATCAACTATCACTTTACTTGTCACTAGTTTTCTCTAACCATCTTACTTAAAACAGAGGCCTTGCCCATTCAATCTTTTTTCTCACCATGTTTCTTGAAGAGCTCTACTAGAACCTCAAATCTGGTGGGCCTAGACAGATAATTCTGGAATGAATGACAGGTCTGCATCAGATTTTTTTTTTTTTTTTTTAGATAACTGTCTCATACCTGGAACTGCTGAGCTCAATTGATTCTCTTGCCTTGGCCTCCTGAGTAGCTTTAGATAAAGGCCAGCACCTTCACATCCACCTGTCAAATTTTTAACAGACTAGAGTATATTAAAAAAAACAAACAAAACAAACAAACTACAAAGGTTGGCCAAAGAGCCAGGAGATTAAAGCGTCTGCAAGCAGGCACAGCAGCCAGGGGTTCGATCCCCTGGCCTGCCTTGCTGCTCCCCCCTCCCCCCATGGCAATTGAGACAGGGTGTGGTGACGCCTGCCTGTAATCCCAGCTCTAGGAGGCTGTAAACAGGCCGATCACTGTGACTTTGATCTAGTAGTGAGACCCTGAAAACCCTGTAGACCCTTCCCTAAAAATATACAAACCCTCCCCAAAACCCCCACTACAGTTTTTTATTTACAAATGGATAGGTCAGAAGTTATCAGAAGCTTTCTTTAAGGTAAGGAGGATCCTTACCTTAAAGTTCATGAAAGGCCAAGTTCATGAAACCTTGGGCTTAAAAGAAACATGTCACTGGCTGGCAAGATAGCTCAGCAGTTGAAAGCGCCTGCTTAGACAAGCTTAGGCAAGCACAGGGTTCAATCCTCTGCACCACATGCTATGCCAGCGCAAGCACAGGGTTCAATCCTCTGCACCACATGCTATGCCAGCCTCGCCCTCCCTCCACCCTCCTCCACAAAGCAAACCTGTCTCTAGTGCCCAGGCAAAGGATTCATATACTCATTGAAGAGAAAGTGTGGATTTTTTTTTAATTATTTATTTATTTTTATTTATTAC